GTGTTATTATATATAGAACTGGATTTGTGAGAAGATGTTTGGTGAGAACACGACTTTCTCTGATATCATGAAGTCGAGTCGTGGAGCTCCAGAAAATTCATGCGGGCTGACGTTACAGTCGGCAAGCTACTTGTCAATACTATCGTTTCTAACACTCTGCAATGCAACAGGTAAAGATTTCAAACCACCAAAACTCATGTGTGCTAATCCATTTGAAGTTAAAGGAGACCAGATATTTTTTTCACATTTCCACGAATGTCACAATCAAGGCTGATAATTCAATTAATGCGGTGGTATTGTATTACTATCTTATTCCTTTATCTCGAGTGCTTTGCTTAGACCACGCTCAAATTTCAAAGGGTAGATAAAGGTATAATTATGATAAAAGTACCAGCCAATGAGCAATCGAGTGCCCAACACTCTGTGTTAGGTGAATGTTTCACCTGACATAGAGTGTAAAGTGTACGTCGTCGATAACTATATATAAGGAGTGTGACGCTCCCGAGAGAACTGACTATGAAAAAATCGACAGACGACGGGTTCTGCTCGGCTGATGAGTCTGTAAGGACGAAACACGTGTCTCGGGCTGTACAAGAGCCCTTACCAGACCACATGACATGTTGGCTCAAATAATAATGAAAGGATCTAATGAAATTTGAGCGTGTGGTCTAAACAAAGCACTCGAGATAAAGGAAAAAAAGAGGCTTGAACTGCCGACTAGTCTTTTTCGAGACGTGCTTGCTCGCATGAAAACTATCGCAATCTTCACTTGGCATAGAAAAAGTGTACTGGCGTTTTGGTCGATGACGCAACAATACGAGGTTCTATGTTTTGCTCGTTTCTCACCATTTTGTGGTTATACTTTATATTATATTCTTGTTAGAAAGATACTTGTTTCGCTTGCAATAATTCGAACTGTGTTTTTGAACAGTTCAATCCAAAGGACCTTCGGTATTCGATGAAGGAATATCAGGCGGCGAAAAGAGGCAGTGGTTCTATTCAATAACTTAAGCTGTGCAGCACAAGAAGTAAGTCGTTACGGTCCTTTTTCGGTGCACATCAATAATCGTGTCACTTCCTGTTGAGATTTCCGAGATTTTTCCTTTTCGATTCTCTTGTTTTTTCCAATTAAGAATGCCAGGAACGACAAATCTGTCCCTCTTGATCTTGAAATCAGTGGGACCTACCGTACAACTCTTCCGCTCAGTGGGATTTAAAGATGATTATTGTTTTTGGCTGAGTAGTCCGAAAGACACCGTGAGCAGATGTGATGCAGTCAGTCTGCTTGTAAGAAATTCCTCCTTCCCTCTTTCCCAAAAGATGCGGAAGCACGGTGAAGAGTTCACTAGGTGTTCTGGTGAAAGTGTAATTTTGCGACGCATTATTATAAGCGTCAATGTTTGCCTTGTTTGAGATGAGTGAATTAACAACTGACTATTTTATGACTAAATGCAGCACACAAATTGGATTACAATTTGCACAATAAGCGTTATCTTCCTGTCTGGCGCAAAACTTGATATACTGCTACTTTTCTTTGTAAAGGAATAACAGATGACTGTGTACAAAACTTCTGCTACAGAAGGTTGTAGGAGAACTCAGTAACTGCAAACATGTAATTTTACTTTTTTACAGATTCAATTGTTGGTTCTTCAAGATGTCTAACTTATTCAGAGTCTCAGGACTAAATTTCCAAAATTTGAAATAGTAAGCGATAAAGCTGACTAGCTGTGGCGCAGATTCTCCAAAATCACTTAAAATGTGGGTGAATGTTTTCCTAAGCGAGAACATATCAAATGAAGCAGTCTTACCGTAGATCGGTTGCATACCTAAATACCCTGATTCGTTGAATCTTTAGAGTTTCTGGACATCTTTCGAGTTTTCTTCATTCGACCGGGTTTTATAGACCTAGCTCAAGCAATATTCATCTAATTAGGATATAACATGTTTTGAGTCATGCCTATGTGCTATACAGGCGCCTGTTTCGTCCTATCGGGACTCATCAGTTGCACCGTTCCTCGGTGCGGCTGATCCCTTGAGGTTATAGTCCTCTATGAAGAAATCGACGCCGAGCAATAAATCATTGCAAGTCAGAAGGTGGAATTGCCTTTTACTTTCTTTTTTTCTCGTCGTATATTGTGAGGCTTTGTTTCGGAAGTAATCACGTCTACAAGTGTCATTCACTCACTAACTCTGCATTTCCTTAATGGACAAATAAGAGACTATCAAAACTAAGGTTTATTTGATAAATTACATTACAGTTTTGGCTGACTTCCGACTATTTCGTCTTTCTTGGATTTTTGCATAGTCGATTGGACTCGCAATTTGCCTTTAAACTCCTTTATAACTTAAGATGATGAACAAGTCTGATACGTAGAATAAACAGCAAATCCTCACCATTCTGCACTTTTGAAAGTGTCTGGCTCAATTCAGCGATTGGCATCTTGCAGTATTCAAGAAACAGTCCTCTTTTCGATCTATTTTTGGATTTTGAAACCAATCGAGTCTGACAGAATTCCTTTTATTTGACCGCCACTTGCGGTGATATGATGTTACAGTATACATAATAATATGTAGTGCTGTACAAAAACATGCGTCAGCCGGGATTCGAACCCAGACCTCACTCTTTCCGGGAGCGTATGCCAATCGTTGGCGTCGGTGGTGCAGCGGTCAGCATATGCACCCGGAAAAGAGTGAGATCTAGGTTGGAATCCCGGCTGACGCAAATGTATATGTACAGCAGTCCACATTATTGGGTAATCGAATCTTATTTGCGAGTTCTCGCTCAAAAGTTTTCGATTTTTATTCAAGGATGAGGACTTAGATCTTGAAGATAATCAGTATTTCTTTGCAATTCCAGCCTTTTCTTCGAAAAAAAAATTGAAATAGACAATACATATAGAAGATGTCAGTTTAGCTGGGTTTAATGCCAATGTGTGCCTACTTAACGAGAACACTAAGAGTTGGTTGCTGACACCTGCGACATGTCATATCGATGAATGTGAGGTATCAAATTGGAATGTTGATGGTGCAGTGGTAACAGGCGCCCCACTTCTCAGTCGATAGGTCTCGGCTGGTAGAGCAGAATTGGTCCATGGCATCGACTGTTTTTGAAACCGCGCAGCAAACATTCACATAAGCTGAGATCCATCTACTGTGAAGTGGTGATATAAACGTGTCATTGTACACTGTGCCGTCATCACATACGCCTCCCTCCTTGCTACAGTGCAGGACTTAATGTGGGGCGTGGGTCACTGGCGAGGAGGGCGAGACATCCAAAACACCGGTGTATGGCCCTGACGTACGTAGATAATACACTGGGAATGGTGTTTGAGAAGACCGTAATGATAATGTAGGCGCTGAGCAAAACAAATTCTTGAAAGTCATAAACGTCTTACTCCAATGATATGTGCAATCAAAGATTCAATCGTTTCGTCTCACAGTCATCATACCACTTCACGCCACAAGCAAAAGCATCCAAAAAGTCGCGCGTTCAGGCTGCTTTAGTGTTTATTCGGCATTTAATATATTATGGAGTCCATTCACATCTGGCAGAGCGATAAAAGCAGAGAGTACATCGCACTCAGAGGTGTTTCTTTGATCTATCGCTCTAGATAAACAAAGCGCTCTATCCATCCAGCTAGGACAGTATTATAGTAGTGAAGTTGTCTGAGAAGACAAAATTACTTATTTCCTGGGTCTATCTCGGCAAGATATGTCTATCTGTAAATCTCTGATATGCGTTATTCATTAGCCAAGTAAGTATTGAATCACCTATACGATGCTGCGATAGAATCAGATGCAAGCTGTTCACTTCAGAGGTTGATTAAACAGAAGCTTTGTACTTTTTTCCTTTCCCATTGAAACTATGCACTGAAATAGGCTGAACTATCTCAAAATATTTTATGCTTCGGATAATACTGCTTTTCGGAACGATACTAGTCAGACAGTGCTCGCTTTTGCAGGGTCCTGCCGTACTTACCATAACCCTAATGGGCTAAAACCTCTGTATCACCTATGAATCCTTTCTTCTGAAGTGCTTGGGACCTTTCAATGCGATTCTCTCCTGATGAACACTTTTCTGCGTAAGCTTACCTATTTGTGAATCAGCAATAATGCATATTTTTGCCTAGAAAAGAAAAAACAATTAATTCTCGTGCTTGAAAGTTCCACACTCCTTTCAACCTCCGATTCCCGTTTGCCATATGGCCTTTGCATCCTCTTTTTTCATGCGATATCGTGGATAAATTTTTAGCATTCTTTCCATCGCAATAGGACTATAAATCAGCAAGATTCTATGATTTGTTTTTTTCTAGTTTTAATGGTTAGACTAATGTCACCATTTTATTGAGAATGATCCACAAAGTCTCTTCAGAATCTGCGACATTACGTGTGATTATAAAAGTTTTGGACCATGAAATGAGACCGTTGAATATCTGATACTGAACTTTGCATATGAACAAAATCTGCACTGTTTTGACAGATAGCTGAGTGAAATTCGTAATCTAATAAAATTTTGGATAAGGCCCGTCATGAAGGAAAACTCTCTATGGATTTACTACAATCGTACGGTTGTTTTTAAAATCGACTTTATTCAATCCAGGCGTGAAATATCAAAATTTTGCTGTATTCGTGAGCTTACATGAGTTTCTCACAAAACTAGGTTAATATTGACAATAATGTTCCGGAACATCAATTTATCAGGCCCATTGATTCGAGTATACGATGCAGTTGTTTTTTCTGGGTTCGGCTCTCGTCCATATAGAGCTCAAAGATGATGTGCGGCAATACACGAATTTCAGCGGTAGACACAACAAACAATTTCTTCCAAAATCCTCTGAGCTCAAGAATCCAATCCAACTAAATTTTTGCGCCTGCTCCCTGTCTTTCAAAAATCATTAGCCATTAGAAGACGTTAGTTTATCACTAATTGATTTATGAATGACGAGACTATGCTCGGCATACATATTCAAATAACCTACTTTATTGTGCGCAACATTTCTACGAACGTTAACAAAACTGTACGCATAACGAACAAAGCTGCTAAGCGCCAAGTGCGTCACTTTTCACAATATTTACCTTGCGATTACAAGGTTCCGCCTTCGTTCCTAATGGTTCATGTTTCCTCATTTCTCATGCATTACATAACAACTATACAAAGAGACCTTTCCTTCGAGTGCTTTATTAAGACCACGCTCAAATTTCAATAGATCCTTTCATTATTATTTGAGCCAACATTTCATGTGGTCTGGTAAAGGCTCTTGTACAGCCCGAGACACGTGTTTCGTCCTTACAGACTCATCAGCCGGGCAGAACCCGTCGTCTGTCGATCTGTTCATAGTCAGTTCTCTCGGGAGCGTCACACTCTTTATATATAGTTATCGACGACCTATGCTTTACACTCTATGTCAGGTGAGACATTCACCTCCCGAGAGAACTGACTATGAAAAGATCGACAGACGACGGGTTCTGCCAGGCTGATGAGTCTGTAAGGACGAAACACGTGTTTCGGGCTGTGCAATAGCCTTTACCAGACCACATGACATGTTGGCTCAAATAATAATAAAGGATCTATTGAAATTTGAGCGTGGTCTTAATAAAGCACTCGAAGGAAAGGTATAATATGATAAAAATACCAGCCAGCTAGCAATCGAGTGCAAGAAACACTCAATGTTAGGTGAATGTCTCACCTGACATAGAGTGTAAAACATAGGTCGTCGATAACTATATATAAGGAGTGTGACGCTCCCGAGAGAACTGACTATGAAAAGATCGACAGACGACGGGTTCTGCCCGGCTGATGAGTCTGTAAGGACGAAACACGTGTCTCGGGCTGTACAAGAGCCTTTACCAGACCACATGACATGTTGGCTCAAATAATAATGAAAGGATATACAAAGAGAGTAAGTGCACTTTAGCATGAAAATTTAGATTCTCTGATCACGGAAATTTGTTGAATTTCCTGACATCAGTATGCTATACCCGATTTCAATTCATAAAAGTTTCGACGTTTTTTTTGGCAACCTGGTTTTCGCCAGTGATTCTGTCTGATTCTCTCATAGAACTCCGGCTGAACTATTCACAGGATTATCTACTACCATGCGAATCGCTTTAAGCTGAAAGAGTTAAAGTTCTAAAGCCACGGAGCTGTCTCCACATCGCAGTGCCTCTGCACTGTTTATGAAGGAAAGTTATTCACGCTTTAGCACGATTTTTTCGGAATCCTGAAGAAAAACACACCTTATTCTTGACTAAATGTATGCATGAGGACAAAGTCCTACGGGGTGTGAACAATTCCACGTTCGACGCCACAGGATCTATTGATAGATTCCACGCGCTCATAGATTATTGATGCGAATCAAGAGAGTATCGCGAAACACATGAAAGACATCTCATTCAGAAAATCAATTAAGCAATTTCTTTATTGTTCCTAGGCTTTCTACATGCCATGTGGAAACAAAAAATTGCAGTTCCCTTGTCCTGAATCGATCTCATGCTTCTCTATTTTCTAATATGTTTCGCAGACTTTTTCTTGACATCGGTCAACAAGGTATTGCTAAAAATTACCTATGTGCACTTTGAAATTTTAGAGTAATGTAAATAGGTTACGCGCCACTTTACCTCAAAGATAAATGAGAAGTCAATTTCTAGCATTTTTGCGATACTGTTCCTAGTTAGTGAGAAATTTACGTTGCCTATGCCTCGTTAGCAACGACATACGAACCATATCACTTGAATGAGGACTTCTCAGGATCAACAGCCTTATCACCTCTTGATGGCAAACAGGTCAGACCAAACCGATAAACGTTATTCAGGAATTGCTTAACGGATTACTAGTTGAGCTTACGCCGTTATACTTAGCCGTCATCGCGTCCTGCCATGAAAAAAGAAAAGGCTGTGATTGAAAGATGAAAATGATGGTATATATTTTTAAGAATATTTCACGCTTTATGATTTTCGGAGGCGATCAGCATTTCATGAATCGTTCATTGGAGACCATAGAACAGGGCGGAAATAGGAAATCAAAGGCGAGTTCTAGAGCAAGCTTATCAAGAACTCGCCCCTTTCTGATGCCGATACCAGAATTTGCTTAGTATGAATGAACTGCTCCTGACCTAAATTTCTAAGACTAGCACGTGTTGAAATTCAATTTAGGCAGCCTTCGTTTCAAATTTTAATGAGGTGACTGACCTCCATCTGGCGTCTCAAGTTTGCCGTTCGTTCCACATCACCGCTCTTACCTCAACGTTTGGATGATGGCTAGTGTTTTTCATAAAGGATCAGAATGCTGTGTTCCACTTACCGGACAAGCATATACATCTAGATAAAGTCCCAAGCATGGAAACCTTATTTTTAGTTTATTACATAAAATATCGATAACTTTACAATTTTTCATGAGGTATTAGATCAAGAAATCACAATGAGTAACTTCACATTTCCAAAGTGTTATAACGCTCCCCAGGAACTTTCTCGTATTCTTCACATCAACTATAAATGAACAGAATAAGCAGCCCGAGTGAAATCCTCCTAAGCTGCTCCTTTCATTGAAGCAATATAAACCATTCGTTCTTTCCGTTTGGTAGCACAGAAACAGGAACCGATCCCTTTCGTTGGAGAAGAATATTTCACAAGAGTGTTAGCGACCAATAAAAAGCTTGAATCTCTGGCTAGAGCGGTATGTGACCGGTTTTTTTTTGAAAAAATCTCTTCTAAACGCTGCAAACT